GAATTTTGTCGCTGCACTAAATATAGGCCTTGGTGGTAAGGTCAACCAGTTAAGGTCAACCGGTTGTCATGATGCATAATTATATCGGTGGTCACGATATTCAGGGTCAACCTAACCTAACCTAACCAACCAAGCAGCCTGATCAGAGACCGTACCTCTGGGGGGCATTGATCCACGGAGCCACCACAAGGCACGTTAGGCACACCCCTATACCTTCCTAAGGTCAAACTTAACTATACAATATTTTCGCCATTAAAAACATCTCTGTCAAAAAATACGTGAAAACTGCAATAAAAGCCATTTGCTTCACTGCAACATTTCCAACAGTTATTATGGTACTAGCGGGCCAGGTGTTGTAATTGTCATTTAATTCTGAATGAGATAATTACAGCATATCAAATTCAATTATAAATATATAAATAACTAAATAAATAATATATATATATATATATATATATATATATATATATATATATATATATATATATATATATATATTTTCATTGAGGATCCACAAGGTCTTCTCTGAGTACTCTTTATTTTCTTCTCCGAGGCTATGGGTCCCTACACTTGCACCAGAGGTGGTACCCCTTTTATATATATAATATATATATATATATATATAGAGAGAGAGAGAGAGAGAGAGAGAGAGAGAGAGAGAGAGAGAGAGAGAGAGAGAGAGAGAGAGAGAGAGAGAGAGAGAGAGAGAGAGAGAGAGAGAGAGAGAGAGAGAGAGAGACAGAGAGAGAGAGAGAGAGAGATTAATACCTCACAAACTAAATATATTCCTCAAGATGATCACACAGATTTCCGGTCACCTTCAGACAACTGGTTTTAGAACTCAGTAATGCATACAACCCCCCCCCCCCCGGCCCAACCGGTTCCTACCAGTCGGCGGGTTTCATCTGGCTAAGTGGTACACACCTGGCGGGTGTTTAAGGTACTCACGAATACTCTGTGTACCTCATTATTCTCATGCATCCCGTCTTCGCACCAAATGCGTCACATCTGGTACGGAGTTGACAAATTCCTTCAAAAAGGAAGCGAATTGCTCGAAATTCAAGCACAGTAATATTGACGATTTTCCTCCTGTGGACCAACAGGTGCTGCCTTGTATGGGCGACTTCTATGGGGACCCGCTGGCGAATACAGACATTCATGGAACCCACTGATGAATGCTGTCATTCATGGAACCCACTGATGAATGCTGTCATTCATGGAACCCACTGGTGAATGCTGTCATTCATGGAACCCACTGGTGAATACAGTCATTCATGGAACCCACTGATGAATGCTGTCATTCATGGAACCCACTGATGAATGCTGTCATTCATGGAACCCACTGATGAATGCTGTCATTCATGGAACCCACTGGTGAATGCTGTCATTCATGGAACCCACTGGTGAATGCTGTCATTCATGGAACCCACTGGTGAATACAGTCATTCATGGAACCCACTGGTGAATGCTGTCATTCATGGAACCCACTGGTGAATGCTGTCATTCATGGAACCCACTGGTGAATACAGTCATTCATGGAACCCACTGGTGAATACAGCCATTCATGGAACCCACTGGGGAATACAGCCTTTCATGGAACCCACTGGTAATGTATCAATGTGGGAAACCTCTGATAAATCATTTTTATGGCCTTCACTGTGGAAAAGATTTAGTAAACAAAACAAAAAAGGCAAAGCCATTTTATAGCCTTTTGGGCCGCAAAAGCTATATGTTAGAATTTGTGAAGATATTGAGGTCAAGGACACAACGGCGTAGGTAGGATTTATAAATGGTTTGTGGATGGGGGGGGGTGGGACAGGGGGAGGGGGTGTTGTGGATGCGTGTGGGGGGGGGGGAGAGGGGGGAGGGGGGCTTGTGAATGTGGGAGGTGTTGTATGGGTGTGGTTGTTTGGGTGGGGTGGTTGGACATACACATACACACGATAGTTCATACAGCGAGTATGAATGTGCAAAATATGTGATCCAAAAATGTCAATGTTTCGTACATTGAACAGAAACCCAAGTTCAGAGTAGATCTTAACGGAGACGTTGAGTACATGAGAGTAAAATTTATCAGATGAAAGTAGACTAATAGTCTACTCATCTACTCCTCGGGGCAAAATTTAAAAAATTAAAATTTACATCGGCCTAAGAATTCGTGAAAACGAGACGAAACTTTAAGTAATTGTAACGATATTTCGTATGAACGGCATGAAATTAAACGTTATTTGAACGATAATTAGTAAAAACGATATAAAATTAAACGTAATTAAACGAAAATTCGTGAAAATTAAGCGAAACTGAACATAACTGAGGGATAATTAGGGAAAAGAACACGAAATTAAAAGTAATTAAACGATAATTAATAAAAACAAGTGATTAAAGAGTGAAAGAGATGGAGCCGTTAAACAGTGCGTTCCATCAAGCTCGTTGAACACAAAACAGTTAAAAGTGTTTGCCAATGAAATTAGCGCCACTGTGGCTCCTGGTTTAGCAAAACCAGGTGGAGGTTGACTCGGATAACAGCACTGGCTTGGTGCATCACAGTGAACGTTGGTTTAATGAAACTAGGTGGATACTGACTCGTATTAGAGCAATGGTTTGGAGCGATACAGTGGATGCCGGTTTAATGAAACTATCTTAGCACTGACGAAGAAACTAACGAGATAATTATCAAATGGTACTTTTAACAAAGCAATACAGTAGACCTGTTTACAAGGAGCCACAATAATAAACATCTGGGCCAGTTAGACGTGTTACAATACCACTGGAAACAATACACCTACGAATAGATTAAACTTTCATATTCATAATTAATTTTAACGGTGTTTTAAACGCTCCTAAAATTTGTAAAAAGAAAAAAAAAAACAGCCACAATTGTAAGTATTTGTCAAGCCTTCTAAATCTAAATTTAGATTAAGCAGTACATAAAACTTCTAAATCTAGATTATGCACTACGTAAAGCTAAATCTAAATCTAGATTATTCAGTACACAAAGCTTCTAAATCTAGATTATTCAGTACATAAAGCTTCTAAATCTAGATTATTCAGTACATAAAGCTTCTAAATCTAGATTATTCAGTACACAAAGCTTCTAAATCTAGATTATTCAGTACACAAAGCTTCTAAATCTAGATTATTCAGTACACAAAGCTTCTAAATCTAGATTATTCAGTACACAAAGCTTCTAAATCTAGCTTATTCAGTACACAAAGCTTCTAAATCTAGATTATTCAGTACACAAAGCTTCTAAATCTAGATTATTCAGTACACAAAGCTTCTAAATCTAGATTATTCAGTACACAAAGCTTCTAAATCTAGATTATTCAGTACACAAAGCTTCTAAATCTAGATTATTCAGTACACAAAGCTTCTAAATCTAGATTATTCAGTACACAAAGCTTCTAAATCTAGATTATTCAGTACACAAAGCTTCTAAATCTAGATTATTCAGTACACAAAGCTTCTAAATCTAGATTATTCAGTACACAAAGCTTCTAAATCTAGATTATTCAGTACACAAAGCTTCTAAATCTAGATTATTCAGTACACAAAGCTTCTAAATCTAAGCTATGATAATCACATATTACAACGATATAAAGCACTTCTTCTCTAACACAAATAATGATCTGCAGTTATAAATGTTTTAACATTTCTGAACAAAGTTTTTAAATTTGATTTTGAATGGAAACATTAATACGGTGTAAAAGTTCACTGTACACGTTTATAGTAGTGAATCTGTAAATTAACAGTGAAGCATTGAATTAATAATGAATCGTTAACAGTGAATCGGTTAATTAACGGTGAATTAGTTAATAGTGAAACAGTGAATTTTACTTAACAGTAGTTTAATGAATTACAATGAATCAGTGAATCAACAGCGAATCAATATTGCAACAGTGAATCTGTAAATCAAGTGATTCAAAAGTGAATCAATAAACCAACAGTGTATCAGTGAACTTTCCGTGAAACGGTAAATTAACAGTGAATCAGTTAATTAGCAATGTCAGTGAATTAAATGTAAATCAACAGAGAATCTACAGTGAATCAGCGAATTAATAGTGAATCAACAATGAACTCACCACTGAAATGGTGAGTTGACAGTCAATAAGCGGTTCAACAGTGAATCTATGAAACAACAGTGAATCAATTAAACAGTGAATCTGTCGTTTAACAGAGAATCTGTGAAACAACAGTGAATCAATTAAACAGTGAATCTGTCGTTTAACAGAGAATCAGTTAGACAACAGTGAATCGATGACTCAAGTAGTTAATTTGTAAAGCAATAAGGAAGAAGTGCCACTTGAGTGCCAGATCCAGGTATGCTGGCGCTCAAGCAAGAGGCACTGTGCAAGTGCCACCAATATATCTATCAGACAAAAGTTGATTCACTTGTTGGTTTTGATTTGCCGATTCACTGAATATTCTCTGGTTCACTGATTCTCTGTTGATTTTCTGATTCACTGCTGATTCACCGATTCACTGCTGATTCACCGATTTACTGCTAATTCACTAGTTCACTGTGGAGTCAATGTTGAATTTCCCAATTCACTGCTAATTCACTTATTCCCTGTTCATTCCCTGATTCGCTTGTCATTGATGCGTGGTTCACTCTTGATTTCCTGATTCACTGTTGATTCGCGGATTGAATGTGTTCCCTGTTTATTATTCACTCTTGATTGACTGATTCACTGTTTACTCACTGATTCACAGTTTATCCCCCGATTCACTGCGTATTCCATTGATTCACTGTTGATTCAATGAATCTCTGTTGACTCATTGTTGATACACTGATTCAGATTATTCAGTTTCATTGTTTTTTCCAGATTCATTGTTTATTCACTTCTAACACATGTTGATACATTCCTGATTCACTTCTGATTCGTTGTTGATTCACCGGTGACTGGAATGGCAAACATATTAACTGTTTTTTTTTACTAAGCTTAATGACGTGAAGGCTGATCCCTGCACTTACCCTAGATCACTAAGCTGGCACTTACCCTACAGTAAAGGTAGCTAGGAAGCTGACTAGCAGAAGGAGTGCCCTCGTTAGGCACCCTCCACTTTGGCACCCAACTGTCACCAAACGGCTCATTTGCATCTTGTGTTCCTCACTGAGCCGATGCTTGCGTGTGGAGGAGGGCTTATGACGGCCTGAAGGCTCCTTGGTCATGACAGTAGGTGGGTGGGTGAGCGCCTTCTCTCTCTCTCTCTCTCTCTCTTACGTATGTCTGGGGCGTTGTTTCAGGTCATGTGGATCACCACAATACACTCGTGGCAGGTTTAAAGGTCACTAATAGAACAAACATTGTGTCTTTGGTTCAATAATGTTCACACTGGCATTGTTTCTAATTCCTTTATTTTACCTCAAAGCCTGCTGGCATGTACATTAAACAAAATAAATACTCAGATAAAGAGAGTATATGGCTCTGGGTGTTGACAATAATGAGGTACCTAACTGACAGGCAAGCGAGACTGAGCCTTCCCACCACCACTAACTACTAAGGTATCTACAGGTTTAGGTCTCCTTCACCCCTGTCATATCAACCGAGAACCAGAACAGCCTGGGTAATAACACGCCATTCATTACCATAATCGGATCCTTATAATTGAGCCTTTATAGTCTGGTCGGTATACAGCGATGGGCCCTCGCTTTTGCAGCCCCTAGTTCGAGGCTCCGAAATAGGGGGGGGGGCGGCTCCAAATTTAAAGCCTCGAACTGGAACCTCCCATACCTATGTTTGATGTATGCAAAGATGCACGAGATGCATTTGCCCCAAGCGTCTGGCCTCTGCAGGGGGAAAGTGGGACACTTAAGATGCCGTACTTTTCAGAAACATGGCACTTGGAGCGACCCCCCCAAACATGGCCTATCACATTCACATACCTCGCACGTTGCCTCCTGCCTCGGACAGACAAACACACATCCTATATATAGACAGCTCAGTGCTTCGATATTACCCTAAAACTATTCTCCATGAGGTATATGTATATGTATATATATATATATATATATATATATATATATATATATATATATATATATATATATACATATACATATATACATAATATAATATTATAATAGAATGGAAAACTAAACTTGCGTTTTGGGAAAGCTTAACTGATTATTTTGGCTATTGTGGTAAAAGTCTAAAGGTGTTATGTCTAAGCTGACTAAAAATTGTTGGGTTTTTGTTCTTTGAGTTTTTATGTTAAGAATATAAATGTTTAATGTGGAGACTTGCTTGGGTGGTTGGCAGGTGAGTGGGCAGTGAAATAGGTCACAGTGAAACAGGCGAAAGTGGGTGGTGATTGGACAGTGAAAGTGGTGGAGGTGGGTGGTGATTGGACAGTGAAAGTGGTGGAGGTGGGTGGTGATTGGACAGTGAAAGTGGTGGAGGTGGGTGGTGATTGGACAGTGAAAGAGGTGGAGGTGGGTGGTGATTGGACAGTGAAAGTGGTGAAGGTGGGTGGTGATTGGACAGTGAAAGAGGTGGAGGTGATTGGACAGTGAAAGAGGTGGAGGTGAGTGGACAGTGAAAGAGGTGGAGGTGAGTGGTGGGTGGGCGCTGAAAGAGGTGGACCATAGGGGATTGAACGATGACCCTGCAAGATACAAATCCGGTGCTGTACCTAACTGAAAGAATGATGAGATAACATCTTTCTAAACCTCCTCCCCCCCCCTCCAAAAAAAGCAAGACTTCATTAATTTATGCAACCAAACAGGAAACCTGTACATCTTCCATCAATCAATGCAGCTTTGTTTGCATGCATTAAACAGTTTACGAGCCTGGAAACATCACAACCCAAGGTTATTATTGTTATAAACATCCTCGTTGTGCTTCGGTGCTCATAAAACTAGTTAATATGTGTAAACAAACCCACCATAAATGAGGAAAGATGTACAGGTTTCGTAAGTGGCCAAGTACATACTTGACGAATCCTTAACCAGTTAAAGAACCCAGCAACAGCTTGCAACAACCATGGGCCAGAAAACAGAGAGATCTTCACTTTAAGTAACAAACTTCAAAGAGGTGGAGAACAAAGAGAAAACAGAGACTTTATTCAGTGGTTCAAGGCTCCCAGCTGGAACCAACAAGAGTGTATAAGGAGCAGATGTTCAGGGCTGGACGTCAGGATATGTATAAGGGACACAATCAGGAGTCATATGGCTGTAAGGTGGGGGCCCAAGAAGAGTATAAGCGATGATAAGAATCAACGTATCAGGGTGCATGTTCGGAAGCTGCAGGCTAAGGTGAGTATTAGGGAGGCTGAAAACCAAGGTGATATATATATATATATATATATATATATATATATATATATATATATATATATATATATATATATAAATATATATATATATATATATATATATATATATATATATATATACTCCGTCCAGTGCCACTCACCTGTTGATACCCCTCACATAGTATCCACTACCTTATATCCCAACTAATACCCAACATATATCCACTTATACACCATATATTCTAAAACTGACACCAGCACTGAATTGGAACTGAATAGGTGGTATTTTCTTCAGCCTAAAAATTCTTCTTTATATTCAACGTTGATCACGAAGCTAATTATCACAAGTACATACTGCCAACCACAATAGCTTACTTAAAACGTAAGATACCTCCCCCCCCTAGATATTTCAATTTATTTCTATATTTATATATTTTCCACCTTGATCAATGTTTTTCAAATGGGTGAAATTGGTTGGTAAATATATCAATGATGGTAAAAAAAAAAAAGCGTTGGGCAGACGGATGGTCGTAGGGCGATATAGTGGGTCGCACGACACACGAATGGTCGTCAGAGACACGGATGGTCGTAGAGAGAGAGAGAGAGAGAGAGAGAGAGAGAGAGAGAGAGAGAGGAGGGGGGGAAACACGGACCCGGAAAGACGTACGGTCGTGACCCAACCTTGGGACTTGCTCTCTCGTCGGAGCGAGGGAGCAGACTGAGGCAGCTTCTCTTGTGTTGGTGGACACCCCCATCCCCCACCCTACCCCCTCCTACCCCATGTGGCTGCTCGTGGAGAGGGGGAAGAGGAGATGGGAGAGAGAGAGGAGGGGGTTATAGGTGAGGGGATTCGGTGAGAGGGGAATGGGGGAGTGTTGTCAGTGGCTGCTTTCCCTTCCCCGTTCACTATACCTTTTGATGTGCTCTTCTTCGTCTTTGTCTCTGTCTGTCTGTCTGTCTGTCTGTCTGTCTGTCTGTCTGTCTGTCTGTCTGTCTGTCTGTCTGTCTGTCTCTGTCTCTCTCTCATACACAGCTCATATTTCTCCTCTATAACAATTTATCTTATCATTTCAGTACACTATTCACTCTAAAAAAAAAGGTTTACTTTAAAAAAAAAAATCATAAACTACTGAATAAAAATACAGGAAAATATGTACAGAAAACTTATTTACACAAACCTATGCATAAAAAGACATATATATATATATATATATATATATATATATATATATATATATATATATATATATATGAAGCCTACGAGCCTGGTAATTGAAGTGAACGCAGGAACGTCTTATGTTCAGATAACAGATATATTTTTCAGACTTAGAGAGAGAGTACATGAGATAAGATAATCCACAGGAAATGAATTTCAGCAAATGTCTTGGGAGGAGGTGAAGAGAGGAGCAAGAGGGAGGAGAAGACAGCAGTAGAGGGAAGTGGAAGGATAAGGGGGGGGGGCGCAGGAAGACAGGTACCGGAAGATGGAAGTGAAGGAAGCTAAGAACAGGCACGGTCCTTCACAGAGACATGAAGGAAGAAGGAACCGGAGATGAGGTTTGTGGGGCGTTGATGGGCAGTGTGTAAGGGAGATAATTGATGGACAGATAATGGGTGAAGAAATAATGGGTGATGGGAAGAAATAGGTGATCGGGGAGATATTGGGTGAGAAGAGAGATAATGGATGAGGGGAAGATAATAGGTCATGGGGAAATAATGAGTAAGGAGGGAGATAATAGGTAAGGGGAAGATAATGGGGTGAACTAAACATTTACACAACCACATACGAAACCTCCACATCTTTCCTCAGTCACGGCGGCTTTGTTTACATATTTTAAACGGTTTACGAGTTCGGAAACGTCACAACCCAAGGTTATTATAGTTATAAACAACCTCGTATAGTGCTTTAGGGCTCATATGTAAACACAGTCGTAATGATTGAGAAAAGATGTACAGGTTTCGTAAGCGTAAATGGTTAATGAATCCTGGCCCGTTGACTTGGAATAATTCTGGTTTCAAGCTGTTTTTGTTTTGTTTTACTCGTCACGGATGAGAAACGAGGCAGAGATGTCTCCTATTCACTGCCTAAGTGAGGAAATGTTGCCTATGAGCCGGGAGTCCGATGGGAAATATGCCAGTGACTTAGGGAACAGGTGCCCTTCATCTTTCACAGGCCGGGTGACTACATCTCATAATGTGCCACTGCCTCAAAAATACAACTGTTTTGCCTTGCCAGAAACGTAAAATACATTATATATAAAATACATATAATTATTACATTATTATTAATGGGGCATAGTGAAGAACTATAGTCACGATATGAAAAGTGCTCCCCATGCCTCCCCACTCCTCCACATTCACCAAAATACCTATTCTAACACATTAAACAGTCACAAGCTTGTATACAATATAAATCTTTTTATATATGTACATGTGTATATATATCCTTTTGGTTGGGAGGTGTTGGCCAAGCATCGCCCACAAAGGCCTTACCTGACACCTGATAATTAAACAACTAATTAAACACTCACCAGAGGAAATGCGAACGACGGGGATTCGAACATGGGGACCCCAACAGTACGTAACCGTTGTCTTACCAGGCCATGGATGCTCTCAATAAGGATCTTCTAATTTTGGGACCCGAGTTTAAATCTCCGGTGATTCAAGTAAATGAAATATTATTACCACACCTGTTGTGCGATGCACTCACCACACACCTGTAATACACCACAAACACCTCACGTGTGTCTTTAAACTGTCAGAAACCGGGGACATTTCTTTCTGACGCTGAAACGGGAAACTGGCTACTTTTGAGTCTCGTAGTATCAATGAGTCTAGAACCCAATTCTTTGAGAGAATGCCCATGTCACCCTTGCCCCAAGGCCCACGGGTCTTAGCTGCTATCAAACCAAACGTCCACTGATGTTCCAGTTGCCTGTACTTCTTGGAATTCACTGCTTCTTTAGAGTAGGCTGCACCACCTGCCTGGCAATGTAGGTGTTAGCCCAAGCGGATACACACCTGTAGTCACACACCAGCTGTTTACTGTTCTTCCAGAACGGGGTTGGGGGGGTTATATTGTGATACCATCTGCATGAAGCACAGAACTTTAGTTGCTTTGGGTAAAAAGAAAATAAGATTCTATC